TGACAATTAAGCCTTTTTCAGTCTATAGCTTCAAAATTGACAGAACTCCTGAATTATGTGAATGAGGCCTGTAGAATGTTCATCACAACTGTCTTTTAGAGAATAGTTTATGTACCCTATTTTTACAAGTAAATATTAATAGTTAAGTTGTTCAATAGAAGATTTATCCTGGTGAAATCTGTCATTGATGATTAAAGAGAGGAAAGGCACTAAACCTTGCAGAAGGTGAGATGTGGATAAAAACAGAGAATTGGATACAGACTCCCTTATACAGTTATGTTTTTTGACAATTAAGCCTTTTTCAGTCTATAGCTTCAAAATTGACAGAACTCCTGAATTATGTGACTGAGGCCTGTAGAATGTTCATCACAACTGGCTTCTAGAGAGAGCTCAAACTCTTCATGCACATGACATCCCCCACTGCCAAATCCCTGTAAATGGAATCATCTTGACTACATGGGAGGTTTATTAATTCTATAATTTTCCCCAGCAATAAATAAACAGAAATTTTGAGTCTGTATCTATATTTGTCCCATTCTTCTCTGTTCTTTAACTTTGTCCTTAACCATCAGATCTAGAAACTTTAGGAAATCAATGATTTTTTTTTATTTGTTTCAGGATATTATGGGGCTACAAGTATTTTGGTTACATGTTATGACTTTGCCGCACCCAAACAATGATTTAAGGCATGCCTTCCCCCCTACAACACTCACCGCATCCATTAGGTGTGAGTTAACCCAGCCCCAAACGCCTAATCCCTGAGGAATATTACTACCGTGTGAGGACCATAGTGTTGATCAGTCAGTGTCAATTTAATGGCGAGTACATGTGGAGACTATTCTTCCGTTCTTGTGATACCTCACTTCGGAGGGTGGGCTCAAGCTCTATTCAGGACTTTTGGAATTTTTAAAAGTTTTCTTTACTAGGATCTGATCTGTGATTATTTGTTATGGCTGCCCGATGAAGCCTACTGCGTATCCGCAGGGACCCTCAGGAGGTTGGGATCCCAGTAGTACTTCCTTACTGAAAGAAGTCTTTCTGAAGAAGATTTTTAAAAGAATACTAGCCTCACTTAATTATCACATTAATATCCTTATTATTTGTGGACATTCATTTATTAACTATAATTTCACCGTTTCCTGATCTGATCCTTCCTTTCTTCATTTTCCACCATTCAGTTTTCCCTCTGGCGAAGGGTCCAACTTTTGCCATATTATTCTGCAAGTTTCTCTTCAAAGTTCATCCCAGCACAGGTACAATTACTACTCA